TGCATTTAATTTATTCTATTTTTCCACATTTTAATCCCACTTAAATCTTTTGTCAGTTAGTTTTTCTGTATGATAAGTAAAAAACTGTTATTTGCATAGATATTTAATCAGTTAATTTTTTATCCTTTCATTTATTGCTGCAGTTTTCAAAACATTCATATTGAGAAGGACATTTGAAAATTAGGGGAAATAAAAGGACAAATACTGTAATAATGTTAATTTCCCGGTAGGAGGCACCCAGCTGGCCAGCACCGCCCCGATCAGACCTTATATCTCTGCAGCATCAGGCTCTCCTAGGATGCGCTAGTTCTAGCTTGTAAAGTCTAACCTTGGTTTTTCTTCTGAGTGGAGGACTGCTCAGAGCTCTGCTCTTATCATTCAGCTCCTCTCCAGTTTGTTTGACTCCTTTTAGAAGCAGCTAAACATATCAGCCATGATCATTAATTTCCAAAGCGCCACAGTCACATAGATGTAGAGAAAGTGTTTTATGTCAAAGCAGTGGGTTTCTGTTAACTCTTATCTGACTTGCTCTTGGCGGAGGAAGACACCCCGCCCTGTCTGCTCTGCTTCAGCTCCATGTTTTATCTTCTTTTTGGAGCCTCTTTTGGTTTATCTTCCAAAAACTGTGAATTTCTGATCAGGTCAGCTGGTCTGTCAACACAATTGATCAAATTGACACTATATTGGGGGGAACCTTCCTGTCAGATGGGATGTTTTTCTCTGAATACACGATGGATTCCTGGCAGAAGTGAAAGACTGTGTGTCTGTCAGTCCCAGACGTAGAAGGTGCATTCATGACACATTTAGAGTTGGTGGTTACCTGACATGTATCAGTTTACAATCAGGCTCCCCTTATGGGAGGCTAAATAGATTATAGATCATTTATTAATTATTATGTCAACTTTAACTGAACCTCATTTGAACCAAGCAGTGGACCATTTACACCGAGCCTGTTTCTGGTTCTGCTGCTGGATTCTTGGTTTTGAATTGGAGTTTTTCCTCCCAACTGTCGCTGCATGCATGCTTGGTTTTTGCGATAGTCAATATCTACCGTCCCTCTTTGCTCATCCAGGAGGAGAGAATTCTGCAAAGTCAACAACTGGATGCAAGCTGCTTTTCCTGAGATAGAAAACTTTAAATGTTTAAAGGAAAAGTCGC